TTAACTCACTGCCACATCTCTTCCAGGCATGCCCACCTTGAAGAAGTTTTGCTCCTTTCTCCGACGGGATTTCCGTTCCAATCTTTCTTCCTGCCCACTGACTTTAATTTCACTGTCACTCCTGGTGTTTGACCAGGTATTTGCTAAAACTCGTTTCCACAGCCATATCACATTCCTCAGTGACTGCCTCCGGCTCAGGCTGACACCACGTGGATTCCAACTGAAGTTTCATCCCTCATGTTTTGAATCCTCCCTGGATCACAGATACCTCCATTAAAAAAAAAGTTCTGAGGAAGGGTCACCAGACCCGAAACGTTAACTCTGTTTTCTCCTCCACAGATGCTGCCAGACCTGCTGAGCTTTTCCAGCAACTTTGTTCTGTTTTTTTCGGTTTGTTTCAGATTGCCAGGATCTGCAGTTCTTTGAGTTATTTCAATTATATCAAAATCGATTACTTCAGTGTACTCCGGTCTTTTATAATCTAGGAACAATTGGTTTTAAAACTGTGGTTATGTGAGTATTGGTTGGGAGATGTACCCTGAAATACGAGGAAGCGTTTTGTGTGTTTTCCTTCGTGCATGAAGCTCCGCTTCCAGGAAGCAATTAGATCTCTGATATGGGTGTATAAGTTTGTATAAGTTCTGCTGCATGAGCTCAAAACTAAATAATGTCCCCCCGGAGTCAGGGCTACAACTTGGATTTCAAAGAAGTGTCCTCCTCTAAATACATACGAACATATGAAACATTTGGAATACAATGTTTAGCTTTCCGATAAAGAACGGAACAGTTCCGAAATTAGAGTTACATAAGAAAAACTAGTTGAAACAGGAAAGTTTGTTTTCCACGAATATTCGCTAGTTAGGAATGGCGTCGACTTGCGCACTTTAAGAAATAAATATCTAAACTGTCTTCCATTCTGCTACAGCAGAAAACATATAACCTAGGCTATTGAAAATAAGAGCACCAACGTGTGAGTACTGATGCACTGAGAACGACTTACATTTGCGTAGCACCTTTTATGACCTCGACATATTCCAAAGCACTCTGCAGCCAATGAAGTACAGTCGACACAAAAACAGAAGTTGCTGGAAAAGCTCAGCAGGTCTGGCAGCATCTGTGAAAAAAATTGTCAGAATTAACGTTTCGGGTCCGGTGACCCTCGGAACAGAAGTACAGTCGACGTTGTAATGTAGGAATACAGCGATTAAATTGCTACCAGCGAACTCCCACAAACAGCAACGTGATAACGATCAGTTAAAGAGTTTCTTTGCAGTGGAAACACAAATATTGAGCAGGATCATTCTGCTTTACTTTTTAAAACGTCGTCCCTTTGAGAGGGCAAATAGGGTTTTGAATTAATGTCCATATAGAGGGAGACAGCACCTCCTACAGTGCAGCGCTCCTCTAGTACTGTGCTGGAATATTGTAGTCAATTCACCTCTGACTAAACACGTAAGACAGGGGCTAGCTGAGCACTGGCTCGCAGCAGTTTGATAGGTTCTGCAGCACGGGAAATGATCAAAAGTGGTCTCTTATATTTTCAAAGACTGGCAAATGTGAACAATACGGGACTGCAGGTAAACACGGAAAATTCTTACAAAGATAGTAGGAACTGCAGATGCTGGAAAATCTGAGATAACAAGGTGTAGAGCTGGATGAACACAGCAGGCCAAGCAGCATCTGATTTTTCTGAAGAAGGGTCTAGGCCCGGAACGTCAGCTTTCCTGATTTTTCTGAAGAAGGGTCTAGGCCCGGAACGTCAGCTTTCCTGCTCTTATGATGCTGCTTGGCCTGCTGTGTTCATCCAGCTCTACACCTTGTTATCTCAAATTCTTACAAAGCATCGGCTGTAGAAATAACTATATACTAATACAAATAGCAAAAAAATCTTTGCCGCACAGCGGTAATATCCCTAGGTCTGAGCGAGGAGACCAGGATTCGGGACCAACATACGCCTGAATGTGTAATAACATCTTTGAGCAGTGTGGTTAACAAATATATATTTCACAAACAATTAAAGGAGAAAGGTACTGCTTGTCACACTCTTTTACTCAGGGACAAGATAGAATAGTTTACAACCAAAATCTGGGGTAGAACACTGGATTAGATGTGTAGTCGCCCTGGTTATACGTGGAATGGTAGGCTGGATGGACATACTGAATGGAAATCTGCAAAACTCAGCACCTGCTCCGCCAAAAGCGGGGGGCTGATAATCTGCAAAATAACAGCGTTTCAAATGCTAAAATCAAATCTTCTTTTGTGAAATATGCCGATAGCCCCCAAAACAAAAGCAGAAATGATACTTGCTGCAGGATTTAGCTCACTTATCAAACTCAGCAGTCAACTGGAAAATCCAATTTAATAATAAAGAATGTAAAGTAATCCGTATTGGTTGAAGAGACAGGTTCCAGTGACCACACAACGAATGGAACGGAACGAGGACCCGGTAATTCCGAAAATAAAGGAGCCCAGAGCGGGAGCAATGCAGTTAAAATCGTGGGATGCTGGAATATATAGTCAGAACAGTAAAGTATAAATCTACAGAGGATTTAAAAGACCACAGTTGTGCTGTGAAAAGACTTGCAGGTAAACAGAAAAGGAAATTTAAAAAAAGAGCAAAGAGGAATAATTGGAAAAGGACACATCGTAAGTTTGCTCAACATTAACTGGGGACGGTGACAGTTTTAAGATGTAGAACATGAAGTAAACTGAAACAAAGAATTGAGGACGCTAGATATCTGAAACAAAAACAGAAATTGCTGGAGAAACTCAGCAGGGTTGGCAGCATCTGTGGAGAGAAAGCAGAGGAAGAAGGGTCACTGGATTCGAAACGCGAATTCTGATATAGCTCCACAGATGGTCTAAAGTCAACCCAGCAGTGGGAGCAAGGTGATCTGGATTCAAGTCACTTTAGGCAGGATATTTGGAAGAAGGCATTTGCTCCAAGGTCATCCTATTCGGACTGATTCGCCGAAGAGGAAAGAGGCGACAGCATTGTGCACTGTTACAATGTGGTTGAAGGCAATGATGGGATGTTGAGTACACAGCAGTAGCACCTCGTTTCCTTTACTTATTTAGGTCAATCATGGCCGGGAGCAGGGCATTGGCGTAAAGACTAGGGACGGGACAAGGAAAAAAAAGGTTTTGTTGTTGCGATCGGAAAGGCGTTGCCTGAAAAGATGCTGGGAGCTCCAGGGATACTCGGAACCTTGTGCAGGGCTCTGAGCAGAGAGAAAGTGCAGACAGAGCTTCCAGAGGGCTGGCAGGGCCAGGGTGGGCCATTGGCCTCCTTGTGCCCTCTTTGATTCTCTGTGGTATATAAACGATGATTCGTCAAAAGGGAGCGCGGTCTCTTCTCGGAAGCCTCTATTCAGAAGTTGAAGTGCGCTTTGCTGGGGCATGCGTTCTTGCCCTTGCTCCACTTGCTCTGAAGCTTTGGCCCGTGTGGCGCTGGGGCCGTGTGCTGAGGCTCACTCCGGGATCTCTAACACTTGCAGGTCAGCACACAGCAGCTGCCGGCTGAAGCCCCGGAAGGCGGTGGGACCCGGGGGAGTGTGTGCTCAGCCTCCCCTGCAGCACCCCCAGAGGCCGGCAGATATACTGCCTGCTGCATCGGCGATCCCTGTCCCTCTCTGAGAGTGAAAAGGAGCAGTCTCTGTGTCTGTCTGCCCCCTTCTCACCTTTTCCATGGACCGAGAACGGGCTGTTCAGCTCGAACTTGGTCACCGCCACCAGGCGGCTTAACTACTCTCGGAAAAGCTAGTCTGGCTGCGCCGTGGGGGAAACTGCTGCTTATTCATTCGGATCAGAGCGGTCAGTCTTTCTCAACTACTGTTCAGGTCGTTCGAAGAATAGAAGCTCTCAGGATGAAGACAGCCGTGAATCCCCACCGCGCTCCTCCGGTATTAGCTTGCTGCATTCTGACCCTCATTGCCGGCGCCTTCACTCAAGGTAAATGGAGACTTTATTCAACGGTTATGTCCCGTGTCATGTCAGGCTCTGATTGAGGACCGTTACATTAACCGAGCCACTCAGCCTTTCGGATTGATGTGTTTCCCTTGGGGACCAAAGGTGTCCGCGATGACCCGTGGACATTGGAGACAGTGAGAGACACTCTCTCCCCAGTGGGAAACCTGCAATTCTGCACCTGGGGCTCACTCAGATCAAACGAACTTTTTTAAAGAAACGAATTGATTTTCACGGGTTGGAAACATACTAAAGTAACTCCATCTGTTAATATCAAATCTTGGATGCTAAAGTTCACAACGCTGATTTTTTTTCAATTATCCTGCCAGGATATAAGCAGACCCTTTCTGCTTAGACCTGTGGCAGAACTATATTGGCTCAAAGACGCTTCTCTTAGAAAGAGTGGAAATGATATTGTAAAACAGAACTCGCATTTAATAACACATGCGGTGCACCTCTTAGACCCACATGTTCAGATCTGTTTGTTAGGATCGATAAAGAAGAATAAGTGATATTTTGGAGGATTTCATCATCTCAATGGAGCAAAACGTTACTAAAACAAAACAATAGACACCACTAGCCTTAAAAAATGAACTCAGCCGCTGTGTGGCCAGACAGTATATGTATGAGATTGTTCATTCCTGGTGGAGACAAATCCAATGAAACTGACATTTCTTTAAGAATGATGCTCCTTGGATTTTTAATGTGGGCGACCGGAACACAATGAGCTTCCAAGAACGAATCCACTGTCCCCCAGATTAGGTGGATAGAAATCTGTTGATCATCCCATCCCTTTCTATAGAAAAACACAGCAACATGACATTGTAGAAAGTTTGGAGGAGAATGTTAACCAGGAGTTGAAGCCATATTTTAAACAGCCTTTTAAAATGGAGAAATGGGGGCAGGGGGAAGGAAGATGGACATGCATTGACCTTAGCAATGCTGAGATGTTGTTCAGCCCCAGTGAGAGAATGATAACCTGCCACCTTGTGTCTTTGGAAGTGAATGTGCTGGCGCCTTGCCGCAATCACACCATCGCAACGATATACAATGTGTCATTTTTATGGTCAGTATTAAAACGCTTCAAACGTTCACCGTCTCGCTTGACTTTGTACCTTTTTCCATGTGTTTATGGTCATCTTTCCTAAGCAGTTTTGATGACGGAAACTTAGCTGACGTTCGTAGTTTTAACAAATCCAGCGATAATGCCTGTTTCTCATACATTTTATTTTGGTACTGGAGTCACATTGTTCTCTGTCGGCTTCATCATAAAACACGTGTAATAAAGATCTTGTCACACTTCTGATATCAAGGTCTAAAAATTTTATTTGTGGTATTGAAAGGGAAATGTTTCAGCATCGATAGGTAACAGCGATTACTAATGACCAGGGTCCAGGCGTGATTATGTAGAGCTTTCTGTACAGCAGACACACAATGAGCTTCAAAACTCTTTAGCTTTAGTTGCCGGAAATCTGAAATAAAAACAACGAATGCTATGAACTCTCAGTAGCTTTGGTGAAAGAAAGAGTTCCTTTGGTCGGAAGGAGAAAAATTAGAATTATAACTAATTTTAAGCAACAGAAACAGGGAAGTGGGAATGAAAAAGAACAGGGAATATATGTTACAGGTTCAAAGGCAGATGAGATCATATAGCAGAAGGACCGACCCTTTTTGATGCAGTGATAATAATAAGGTCATAACACAACTGCTGGGGAAACCAAGGAGTCATCTAAGCAAACGATGTTGTTTTTATTTGTTTAGAAAGGTTTGGATTTTTGGAGTTAGAAGAGAGAACAGCACAAGTGGGAAATATATTTATCATTATTGTGTGACACACGTAGTATTTCACAAAGAATATTCATAAACATTGCCAAGGACATAGTAATACGTGTCACGATAATACAGTCCCAAACTGGCACATTCTAAATGCCGCTCAAGCTATTTCGGGTTTCTAAGACATAAATGTTGAGGATAATAATAATCTTGAATTCAACTAGTACTCTAATGCAAATAGTTGACTGTCATTACAGAGTTCGTAGCCCGAATGGTGCATTTCACCAGCAGTCTCTCAGGTAAGTATAAGCAATCAGAGGCATTGCTGCATTGGTATTCACAGGTGGCTGACTCTATTGCAGAAGACAGATTGACTACAATGTTACTAATAAACCTTCAGTTCTCCTTGTTTTCCTGGACCTCTTTTATTCTCGTGTACCATGACAACTATAAATTTTACAATAAATTTAAATATAAAATTCCTGCAGTGCTAACATTCTCCTTCCCATATCCTTTCCAATGCAACCCCTGCTAATGCCATGTCTAAGATGGAATTATATACTTACCTTTTGATGTGCTTGTGCAATTCTAGAAAGTTCTTAGAATTCTACAAGTTAAAATGACTTCTTAAATCTTTTCATTGACTTTTACTTCTGTTCTTGAAGAATATGAAAGCTCAACAGAATACCAAACACAAACGATTAATTGGCATTCCACAACTTTTTATCCATATTTAAATTTCTTTAAACTTGATTAGTGGAACATCAGATCTCTAGTGCCAAACAACCTCATTTTTAATTCAGTCCATTCTTTGAATTAAACTCTGTGGATTTAAATATAAAATTGACTTAAATTAAAACAAAATGTAGATCACTGGGTAACCAATCTAACTGTACCCTCAAGGTACAAGGAGTGCATGAGGAATAATTAAACCTTTGCGATCTTTGATATTGAATGTCCACTGTAAGTGGTAATAGGTACACAGTGAAATCAAATAATACATTAGAAACTTCAGAGGTAATATATATAAATGTTTTCTAGGAACGGTAACTCTGCTTATTAGTTGGGCAATCACTAATTTACATTTTTCTTCAGTACTTGTAGGAACTGAGTGCAAACATGGCTGTCATTCATTAAATGGATTCTGTGAGACCACTGGTGAATGCAGGTACAAACTCAACTATATGTTCAACTTGGTGAATGTTATCTAAGCTCCAGATTTATAAAGAAGATAATCTTGTTTGTTTATAATTACAAACTGATGTCATTTGACTAAGCTGTGCAGCACTGGACTAGTTAAATGTTAACATTGAATCTAGGAGTAGTTATAGCACATAAGAAGGCTATTTGGCCTGTGGAATCCATATTGGCTGTCCACAAAAACATTATAGCTAGTTCCCTAACCCCATGATGCTGCTACTTTTCCCATGGGGGACTTAACCAAGTTATTTTACATCATTCGAATTTGCCAGACTCTCAGGCAGTGCACTCTAGGTAGTAACTAGCTGATACATAAAAAAGGTTTTATTTATATTGAGTCTGAGGAAGGGGCACCGGACCTGAAACATTAACTCTGTTTTTTCCTTCACAGATGCTGCCAGACCTGCTGAGCTTTTCCAGCAACTTTGTTGTTGTTCCTGATTTACAGCATTGGCAGATCTTTTGGGTTTTGTTTTATTTATATTGGCTAGTTTCTTGGCCAATCACTTTTAATCTGTGTCCTTGACTGTTCTGCAATGAGAGGAACAGTTTCTAGCTACTCTTTCTGGGCTCCTATCAGTAAAGTAACTGTAGCCCTACCACACCATTGGACTACTCTTTCACTAACAAGATATGACTGGTGTTGGTGGTTTCACCTGAGGGTAGCCTCACCTCAGGCAAGCAGACAGTCCTTCCTGGTAACCTCACCCGGTGTAGGAATTGAACCTATGTTGTTGCTATCACTCTGTATCACAAACCAGCTATCCTACCAACTGAGCTAACTGAACCCACAAAGACCCTTAACAAATTTCCTCTGAACCTTCTCTACTGAGAACAAACCCACCTTCTCTAACCTTTCCATGCAATTGAAGACTGTTCCTGGAACACCTCTCATTAATATATTCTGCACCCACTTCTTACCCTGCCATTATTTCAGGCCCTTAAGTGGGCAGTCAGTGTCAACATCAGGGCCTCATCCTGTCACAGCTGTTATTAACAAAGTGGTAGACAATGTTTTGCTGTGGAGGAGCACAACATGCAAATCTGCTGTGGTGTCACTTACAGACTCTGGAGATGTCCATCATTCAAAACACTGAGCAACCTGATTGTGGAACTCTATCTGGAAGGAGGGATCCACTGAGGGACTTTCCTGCCCTTGCTGCTAATTCTACTAACCCTATAACCCTTTGTGACTTTCACCCCCATAACCTCCATCATGCAACTGTGGCCTGGAGCCAGCAATGATCCTAGGCCTTGTGTTGATATTGTATTGGTAGTAGCCATCCCTCCTCAGTGAGGCTGCCATTCAGTCAAAATGTAAGTCTCTGACTGACTGGGAGCACTTCTTGGGCAGGACCTTGTCCCTGGGGTTATTGCTCCCAGGGAAGGCCGGGCCTCCAGCTACTGGTATTAAATATCCTACTATGACTGTATGAAAGTATGGTTTTGAATGATTCCATCATCCTCCCAGGCAACTGTCAGAGGCTGAACCAAATTGTTGACAACTTTGGTGTCATACTTGACTCCAAGATGATCTTCCAACTGTATATCTGCACAAAACCCTTCTATATGCTGGCCTACACTGCCTCCAGGTTAACCTGTACTCTGATTTTAAAATTATTATCCTTGTTAACAAATCCCTCCAAAGCATGACCCCTCACAATCACTGTAACTTCCAGCAGCCCTGTAAGCCCTCCAAGATACCTGTACTCCTCTGGTTCTTACCAACATCAATCATTTTAATCACTTGTCCATTAGTATTATGCCTTCAGTTGCTAAGACTCCATACCTCTCTGCCTCACTTGTATTACGTCTCTGATGTCCTTGCATGTATTAAACAGTGCAGCATTCTGATGAGATCTGAGTTAAATCATACTGAGACTTAGATTCATTGTCCCAAGAGTATTGAACATGGTTCCAGTTGATGTGGCCAATTGGAGTTGCACATTACTCCTGATTTCTTTTATACTGAAGTCAATAACTTTTCAATTTTATATTATTTAAGATTAAACTGAGACTCATTTTCTCAGCTGAAAAGAAAAAAAATACTGAAAATCAGTGGGTCAGGCAGCATCCATGGAGAGAAAGCAAGCTAATGTTTCAAGCCTAGATGACTCTTCACAGAGCATCATTTTGTCAGGGCTTTCTGCCTTTCAGCATTTTTCCGGAGTTCCCAAGACAACCAGCACCCCTCCCCATCCCCACACCCCCCACCACCTTTGCTGAAGCTGTAGCATGTGAATGAAAGAAACCGTGAAAAAATTCTGCTCCACCTACCTAGTGAGTCAAGACATTTTTCCTCTTTTTGATCTTTGTTGAAATAAGGTTTCTTTCTCATAGAGTAGTTCCCTGAGGGTCTAATTACAGAAAAGCACAGAAATATAGAGGGCTTGAGTTATAAGGAGAGGTTGGATAGGCTGGTACTTTTTTCCCTGGAGCGTTGGAGACTGAGCGGTGACCTCGTAGAATTTTATAAAATCATGAGAGGCATAGATGAGGTGAATAGCCAAGGTCTTTTCCCCAGGGTAGGGGAGTCCAAAACTAAAGGGCATAGGTTTAAGGCGAGAGGGGAAAGATTTAAAAGGGATCTGAGGGGCAACTTTTTCGTGCAAAGGATGGTGCATGCATGGAACGAGCTTCCAGAGGAAGTGGCACAGGCAAGTGCAATTATGACATTTAAAAGACATTTGGAAAGGAAAAGTTTAGAGAAATATTGGTCAAATGCAGGTAAATTGGACTAGTTCAGTTTAGGATATTTGGTCAGCATGGACAAGTTGGGCCATAGGATCTGTTTCCATCCTGTATGAATCTCTGACACTATAAATGGTTTAAAAAGTGCTGTGTGGGAAGTGTCAGGTTAGAAATGCGAATCTCTTTAAGGCTTAAACAGAAAGAGTTGAACCAAAGAGTCTGTATCTGTACCGTATATCTCTATAACAGTTCCAGTGTAGATCGAGAGAAGGTGATGCTGAAAAGACTTTGTATTTAAGAGCTGAGTTCTACGCCTGTGGGGTGGAAGGTGACCAGGTGAAGGCTGCAGAAAGGAAAGCTGGAAATTAATGTCTGTGCTAAAGTATAGATTAATGGATCACCGTAGCCATTTTTAATGGTGACATCCTTCAAGAGAACACACAGTCAATTTTGGGAAGTGGTGAATTTTCTTTTTAAGCAGTGATCATTTCTGATTGTTTCAGAACTATTCAAAGCAAATCACCAAGCATCCTACACTGACACATTGCTATTATTGTTTTTGTGAATATTTTTACAAGGCATTTAGTTTTAATTCTGCGTACTAGCCTATTGTCTACGAATATTGTTTGCCAGTCAGCATATCTGGATCAGTAGTGGGCTGCTTGGCTTTAACTAGGATTGCACTGCTATGGATATTGATTTTATGTGGACAGCTTGACAGACCTTAGAACATACTCTGCTTGAGGTCCCTCTGGAGATGCAATTGATAGACAATATTGTACATCTGAAGTAAGCGATTTGAATTTTTTGATTTTCAGGTGTTGATTCCTGGATAAATAAATGGCAGGTTGAAAGCATTAAATTATGATTATGTTTCTTTAAAGAAGCAAATATTTTCTTCAAATAGTCAATCTTCTGTATTGTCCTCTCTACTTGTCACATCCCTGGTTTACCTTAATAACAGTGATGCAGTTAAATTTGCAAAAATGAGAGAATTTGTTAAATAAAGTTGCTTGCTTTCCATATTTTTAATAACAAAATACTATTAAGAGTCCTATCAAGCATGTAAAGTTAATATTTTAATTCCAGTATAGTTGTGAATGTTAAAAATTTGATAGCATACACCCTAAACCTATGCCCTTTAGTTTTGGACTCCCCTACCCTGGGGAAAAGACCTTGGCTATTCACCTCATCTATCCCTCTCATGATTTTACATGATGATGCAGCATATCAGTTAATCCTCCACATTATGCAAATTCTAATCTTAATGTGCCAGAGTTAATCACATTTTTACATAAATTGTTTCAGTTTAAACACAATCAGTTGTTCAGATGTAATGCTGCTGGAGATATTGTTCCAGAACTGCCATTAGACAATGTCAATGGCAGTCATGCTGTTGGTCACATGTATCTATTTTACAGTGGGGTGTCTGTATGTTTCTACCAGTTCCTTATTAAAGGGACTCATGCATGATATTCTTAAATGTAGTCCTGACAGATCCTTTCTTGTTGGAGAACAGTTTGATGGATGAGATCATTCGTATATGAATTGTGAAAAATCAACTGGATCAACTTTCAATAGAATCATTGAATACAGAATGAAGTCGTTGAACCTGTCATGTCTATGTTTACTATTGATAAACAGTAACAGGGATGTTACAAACACGTTTTATGATACAGGGTGTTCATTTTTTATAACATCAGTGGCAGGTTTCAGAGGCAAAATGATTAATAAATCCTGCTCCAGACATTCCTTCAAAAGTAATTCTGATAATATCCCAACTCTAGAGAATGTGGAACTCAAAAATTAGAGGCTCATCTTGCTTTTTGGAGAATGGATTTGTCGTCATTGCAGGGTATTTATGACATAACTATTGTCACCTTGATATTCATCAGTATTTTCAGATGTTCATGGCATGAATGTAACTGACTAGTCCGTCCCTAATTGTCCTTAGGGACAAGGTGTGGTGAGCAGCTTTCCTGAACTGCTGCAGGCCATTTTGTGGAAGTACAGCCATAGTCCTGTTACATAGAGAATTTCAGGATTTAAAACCAGCAATCTTGAATTGATGGCAATGTATAAGAATTACAGAAATTTGTGAAGCAGTTAGGAAAGCAAACAAAATGTTGTGGAGATTGCAGTACATGTGTGGAAAAGTCTTCTTAGAATTGTACAGGGCTTTGATGGGGCGATGATTGGAACACTGTCTGATGTTTTCATCTCTACCTAGTGAAGGTATACTTTGCTTGAATGAAATAATTGTCCTATGATGAGAAG